TACATATATTGTATCATGTCTTCTTTTTCAAGCTTTGTTGCCAAGGTATGTTGATTTACCCTCTTCTGAGTTTTGTCACAATATAATTGTACTCTGGTATTGATTTAAGTTTTTTAGTCCATGATTAATATGCTTCTCCTTTTGATTTTGTCAACTGTAATCTTGGATTTCATTGCTAAAGAGATCAATGGCTAAACTTCCTATGATTGGCCTCTAACTTTTAACATCCCCAATCCATATAAAATGCCTGAAGTTTAAGGAATATATTTGAAATTTTCATTATATTGCGTTGATATCTTCCATTAATGATTTTTTAGTTGTAGTAATAAAGAGTTTAAATCTAAAGTAGTATCATCAATTAGTTCTTATCCACTTTTCGCAATGACTATGAATCTTGGGGCTGTCAAAAATAAAAATGTGGAGATCAAGCAATTGGAATTAGGAAAGGAATTAGAATGACGAATGCTAATAGAGAAGAATTGAGAACCAAGAGAGAGGGAATCCAGTTAGTTCTACAACTTAAGCATTTTTCAATGAAGAATTTTTGGTAATGTTAAATTCTTTAGTTGTTTGCTCTTCTTCTATGACATGCACATCTGTTATGTGATGTTTAATAAAGAGTTTTGTCATCTTCAAAATCACTTGGTTGACCACCATTTATGTTTGTGTTAGTATATGTTTTGATAGTTTTAACTTCATTATTTCTATATGTATTAAAGCTTGCACAATAAGAGCATACTTTATAAAGACACTTAATTACTGGTGAAAAAATACATTAATTACTGCCCAACTTGATTGATTTATATCATAAGAAAAGTTTCATAGCAGGTGAGTATTATTGTATACTCTTTTAGCCTTGCAACATATCATTCTAATCATTTGCTATTTTTTTTATTTGAATTTTCAAACTTTGAAGGCAATGGCGAGTTTGGAACTTGGATTTGAGTTGGTGGGGAGGCAAGCCTCTCATGTCTTTGCAGCACAGAATTCTAAGATTCTTCTTAGTTCTTGCTTAGTAAAGAGAATAGAACTAGAGATAATTCTAAAAGGATCAAATGAACTTATTTTACTTGACAAAAAGAAATTAAATTATTTAAAATCAAGTATTAAGCATTAGAATGGTTAATGGTATGTAACTCAGCAATATGGTTGATGGTCCTGCCTTTGTGCTTCCATGTCTCTAATCATGTTTTTTTCCTTTTTCTTTTTCTTTTTTCTTTTTTCCTATTTGCTAACTATGCTTTTTGTTCTTTTCAAAGAAATAGCATCCTCCAGCTTTCCACGTGGTACAGGTACCATCATGCATTTGCTTATGACATGTACGTTATCCGAGTAGTTTCAAAACAATCAAAAGTTAGTGATTTCTTCTCCTTTTGGCATCAAGTGATTTCATTGCTTATAAAATTAGAGGCACTAAAGTACTTGCTCATAATTTGATTATAAAATAATTGAATTCCTTTATAGTCCAAAAATATTTAAAAACCATTTTTAAGCCTATAAAGAGCAGTGTAATCTCTTATAGGTTAAACTTGCCAATTTAGGAAAAGAACATGTAGGAGTTTTATCTTCATAGAGCTATTTCCACCCATTGATTGCTTTGTGTAGCAATTTATAGGGTACAAGACAGAGTAGTTTTAAAGGTTTTTAATGACAGAAATAGTGCCATTGATAGTAGAAGTCTTTAAGTATGCGAAAAAACATTACATGCAATGAGATTTACCAACATTTTAAGTATTGATTCCAATGCTATGTTATTTTTAAAGATTTAAAAAATCACCTTAATTATCTTGACTCAAGCCAAGCTCATTGCACATGTTATATAATGTTGGTGCCAAGTCAACTTTGCTTTACTCTGCAATTCACCTTGATATTCTGATTAAAAAAATCACTTTAGTTGATTTTTCATAGCTAATTATTGCAGGTTGAGCAGGAGTTGTTTGTGTAATTCCAAATAGAATTCTATACGAAAAACTCTCAAGAATATTTTAAAATTATGTTATCCAAAATCCTTTGGTTCAATGGTTTAGGAGGATGAGTATTTAAGGGACTAATATGATTTTTGGTTTCTATCTCATATGTGATGTTAGAATTTACATTTTGTATGTTATAATACTTCTAGTATTTTAACATGATAATCCAATCATGTATGGTTCTTGATTTATTTCAAAAAGTTATAATTAGTCTTAGTTTTGCACTCCAATTTCTTATTAATCAAAAAAATATATATCTTATCCATTTGGTAACAACATTGTCAAATAATTATCTATGACTATAGAGGATATCACAATAGAAACTAGATTGTAAAAGAGATTGCTAAGGGTTTTTTCTTATTTTCCAAGCTTTGTCAATTTCAGATTGAGAGTAATTAGTATTGTTAACTTTACATCTTTTTCTTGATATGATTCTTTTAAGGCCAACTATCATGGAAAAATAAATTAGGGATAATTTTTTTCTATTATATTTTTGTACAATCTTGGTATCATTTAAAAAATTGGTTCTTTTTATTTATTTAAGAGTCATAATATTAAATGTATCTATTCGTTTAATGATACTTAGAGATTGTATTAAAAAATAGTATAAAAAGTTTATTTTTACATCATTACCTTAAATAATTAAGTTTATAAATTTCTTTCAAAAAATTAAATATGTATAATCATTTTGTTTATATTTAAAATAAGATACTCAATTAAATATTCAATAGCGGGCATCAATCACTTGTAGATAAGGAAGAACAATAGGGAATCGAAAATGGAGAAAATTGAGAAGAATTGAGTGGTTGCCCGACGTTTGTGGAGAGAATTGAGAAGAATTAATGGGCCTGCTTGGTTAGATGGGCTTTTACTTGAAAGAAATTAGGGAATCGGTGATAGAACGATAGAATAAGTAGATTAGTGGATTTTTAGAGTGGACCGGGGGGTTGGGTTTAAATGAAATAACTATTGGGCTTCAAAACACCTCTAAGTAGGTTTTTCTAATGATTTAATTACGTAAAGAAATAGGGCCTACTTGGTTAGATGGGTTTTTATTGGAAAGAAATTAGGGAATTGGTGATAAATAGATAGATAGGTAGACTAGTGAGTTTTTAGAGTACTAGGCCCAAGGATTGGGTTTAAATGAAAAAATTATTGGGCTTTAAAACACCAGTAAATCTTTTAATTAGGTAAAGATATAAAGATAAACATTTCTCTTTTAACTTCTTTAATTCCACTTTGTTAAGGGAAACAAAATTAGAAATAATAAAAGAAACACAAAAAAAATGTTTTATAAGGTAGATTGTACGTTAAATGTGTAATTTGACTTATAAATTTATTAAATTTTTTTTAATGAAATAACATAATAAATAATTTCATTAAAGATGTTTTAATAAATTTATAGGGCGAATATCACTTTTAATATGTAGTTCTATTATAATGAATCCCAAAGAATAAAAAAAAAGTAAGAACAATAAAGACAATGCCAAGAAGTGGGAACCAAAACTTAGAGAAAGAGAACCATATTTGGTAGAAAATTATTTGCTCCAAAAAGTAGCAACATTAATGTTGAAACTTCTAAAAAGAAGGCCAAAATAACTCAAGAGTCTTTTACTCCTCTCCGTTCATCACTTCCCTACAATTGCTTGCAAGTTTCCTCGTTTACATTTGCTTGACCACATTTGTCAAGTAAATGTGGAAATTGACGAGCAATAAATACGATGCATGTATATGCCAATATATAATATAACGTTCATCACTTCACTGCAATTGCTTGCAAGTTTCCTCGTTTACATTTGCTTGATCACACTTGTTAAGTAAATGTGGAAATTGACAAGCAATAAATATGATGAATGTATATGCTAATATGTAATATAAGTGTGGAAGAATTTCAAAGTAGGGATCAATTTCTAGATAATTTAAGTCCATGAATGAGATTGTTATAGAAATTTCAAACTAGAAAAGTAGTATGAAAAGATCCACATTTAATGGATCAATAGGAATCTCTTTCTTAAATTCTCTGTAATTACTTATAATTTGTCAATTAAATTTTTATGAAGAAAAATCCTTGCACCTGAGATCTAGCACTGAATAGTAAACTCATCACGATCAATTCAACTACTTCCTCACTTTTACTTTGTAAATTAGTTTTGCTTTTAGTTTTACATGATACAGTATAAAATTAATAAACCATATTTATTTGAAAGCTCAACTTGCAAAGTTTAATCTTGTTATTTAATCTAGTAGGCCCAAGGATTGGGCTTAAATGACAGAATTATTGGGCTTTAAAACACCCGTAGATCTTTTAATTAGGTAAAGATATAAACATAAACCCTTTCTTTTTTAACTTCTTTGATTCCACTTTGTTAAGGGAAACAAAATTAGAAATAATAAAAGAAACACAAAAAAATGTTTTATAAGACAGACTATACATTAAATGCGTAGTTTGACTTATAAATTTATTAAATCTTTTTAATGAAATAATATAATAAATAATTTCATTAAAGATGTTTTAATAAATTTATAGGGCGAATATCACTTTTAATATGTAATTCTATTGTAATGAATCCCAAAGAATAAAAAGAAAGTAAGAACAATAAAGACAGTGCCAAGAAGTGGGAACCAAAACTTAGAGAAAGAAAACCATATTTGGTAGAAAATTATTTGCTCCAAAAAGTAACAACGTTAATGTTGGACTTTCTAAAAAGAAGGCCAAATTAACTCAATAGTCTTTTACCCTCTCCGTTCATCACTTCCCTACAATTGCTTACAAGTTTCCTCGTTTACATTTGCTTGACCACATTTGTCAAGTAAATGTGAAAATTGACAAGCAATAAATATGATGCATGTATATGCCAATATATAATATAACATTCATCACTTCTCTGCAATTGCTTGCAAGCTTCCTCATTTACATTTGCTTGACCACATTTGTCAAGTAAATGTGGAAATTGACAAGTAAATGTGGAAATTGACAAGCAATAGATATGATGAATGTATATGCCAATATGTAATATAAGTGTGGAAGAATTTCAAAATAGGGATCAATTTCTAGATAATTTAAGTCTATGAATGAGATTGTTATAGAAATTTTAAACTAAAAAAGTAGTATGAAAAGATCCACATTTAATGGATCAATAAGAATATTTTTTGTAATTACTTATAATTTGTCAATTAAATTTTTATGAAGAAAAATCCTTGCACCTGAGATCTAACACTGAATGGTAAATTCATCACGATCAATTCAACTACTTCCTCACTTCTACTTTGTAAATTAATTTTGCTTTTAGCTTTACATGATACGTTATAAAATTAATAAACCATATTCACTTGAAGGCTCAACTTGCAAAGTTTAATTTTGTTATTTAATCTTCCTTATTTAGATTATAGATTAATAGATCCTAAACTTTTTATTAGTCTATTCTCTTTACCGTCACTATTTAAAAATTTTTTTTCTTAAAAGGCTCTTTTCAAATATACTAAATGTGTTTAGTAAATGTTAAAAAATATTTGTTTTAGAGTACTATTCATGATTTTAAAATTTTGATAGAGAAAAATTTAAAAATTATTTTCTAAAGTGAATATTAATTAAATTTTGAAAAAATAAAATTTAAGATTTATATTTTTAAAAAAATATGCTTAAAACACACTTAAAAAATTAATTTTAATTATTTTCTTTTAACAATATTTTAAATTTATGAAAAAATAATACTCTTAATATAAATACATTTTAAATTTTATCAAACACCTTTTCTAATCTCAATTGAGTTTATGAAATGAAAGAAGGGAACAATGAACATTAACTTAGTTTCTCTTTCATTATTTTCTTCAATTAATATGTTAACTTTTTCCATGGAAAGAATACCAATTCACAAACGAGAGAGAAGAACAAGAGCAGAAACCTAGAAGAAACATTATAGAGTGCAAATTTAATTTTAATATTGTTATTATACCTCTTAATCTGAGTGTGAAGGGCATGAACAAGGAGTAGAAAAAGATTAGTGCTTAGTTGTTTTATCTCTTAAAAATTAAAAGGAAAATTATTTGAAAATTACGTAATCATAATAAAATATTATAAGAAAAGATAAAAAAACACTTTAATTCATGCTTTAAAAATAAAGTATTTTAGTTTTTTTTTAATGAGAATTTATTAAAATGACATAATTTTGAAATAATTTTTTTTTAATCTTTAGAAGATAAAACAAATAAAATGGATAGATACTATTTTATTTTAATAAACTTTCTTCTAAACTTCAATAGAAATTGAAGATAAAGAATAAAGAAAGTCAACTTACCATATATTTTCGAGTGGGCAAGTGGTGGAAACCAAAGTTTGGAGAAAGAGAAATACATTTGGTGGAAAATTATTTGTTCTAAAAAGTAGCAAAATTGATGTTGGAACTTTTATAAAGTCAAAAATAACTATAGTTTTCCAATTCTCTCCGTCCATCACTTCCCTGGCAACTGTTTACAAGTTTCCTTAGTTAAATTTTTTTGACCAAATTTGCAATATATGTGGAAACTGACATCCAATAAATATGATGTATGTATATCGATGTTGCATCTTTTATAAAGAAGTCAAAAATAACTTGAGTTTTTCAATCCTCTCCGTCCATCACTTCCTTGCAACTGCTTACAAGTTTCCTTAGTTACATATTCTTGACCAAATATGTCAAGTACATGTGAACATTGACATGCAATAAATATGATGTATGTAAATCGATATTGAACTTTTTTATAAAGAAGTCAAAAATAATTGGAGTTTTTCAATCCTTTCTGTCCATCACTTCCTTGCAACTACTTGCAAGTTTCCTTAATTACATTTTTTTTACCACATTTGTCAAGTGCATGTGGAAATTGACATACAATAAATATGATATATGTATGTGGAAATTGACATACAATAAATATGATATATGTATGTGGAAATTGACATACAATAA